CGCGGCGCTGCGCGGCCTCCTCCACCTGCCGGCGTCATCACGGCGCGCCGCACCCGCCCGACGCCATCTTGCGCGGCGACGCGCCCCGCCGGCCATCTTGAGCGTGGCCTGGCCTGTGTTACGCGCGGGTAGCGAGGCCGGGGAGAGGGGAGGGCTTAGTGCCACACACAACATGGCAGCCACAAAGTGCTCTGCCGCGCCGAGGAGGACACGCCTTCTATTGAAGAGTTGCGGTCGGGATTGGCCGGCGGTTGTGACTTCCGCCACCGCCATTGGCTGACGGGCTTTCAATAGCGTAAAGCCCCGCCCCATGAATGGGGAGCCACGTGTGCTCTAACAGGCCCCTGCAGGGGTCGTCCTGGTTGCAGAGGATCTCACCTTGGTCGTGGGGGTGCCTGGCCTGGTCCCTGCAGCAGGGAGGAAGCTTTCCAGCAGGAGATCAAAGGAGCCCCAAGTGCCAGGGCAGCGACAACATCAGCCCTCACCATTTGCACCGGCCATTCAGGAAGTCTCTGTCAGGGACAGGGCAAAAAGCAAGGACGCCATCTGCCAAGGCCTGGCCCCAGAAAAAAGTGCGGTCTGGGGCAGATGTGTCATTAACCAGTTTGACCCAAATCAGTTAGGTCTGATACGACATTCAATCAGGTTTATCTTAAACCAGTTTTGGCCACCTTGAAACTGCGCATGGTGCTTCTCTTCTGTTACAGGTTTAAACCAGATTCTGATCGCTTGAAACTGGTTTATGTGCAACTTTTGTCCCTAACCTGTACAGCTAGCCAAGAGGTTGAAACATCACTGTTAGCACGCGTTAAGGCCATGCAAAATTTCGCTGGCTGTTTCATTTCGACACTTTTGACCAATTTCAAGGTTGAAACAGCAAAATTGAAACAAAAGCCCTCGAAACAGCCTCAAAACAAAATGAGGCTGGTTGAAACGTTTCAAAAGTCGAAACATTTCGACCATAGGCTGGGGATGGGAAGTCGGTCCAGCTGGGTTGACTTCCCATCCCCAGTGCAAGATCCAGTAGGGGGTGGGCAGCAAGGCAGCCCAGCTGGTCTGACTCCCCATCCCCAGCTAAACTTGAAATAGCTTTTTGTTTTGATGGAATGGAACAGCTGTTTCAACTCAAAATGAAATCCGAGACAAAACACTGTTCCGTCGAACCTCAAGGCAAAAGGGAACAGTGCCATTTTGCACAGCCCTAGTACCCGTTATGTCCAGCCCTTGCAGCCGCTGCTGCTCCAACATCCGTGTTTCTTCACAGCAATAATTCAATGAACAGGTGTAATCGTCTAGCGCAGATGCTCTGCGGGGCTCTACATTCCTCATTTAAAAATAGGGAGAAGGGTTATGGTGGGTATGAAGGGATCATGAAAAGGGGGAGGGACCATTTCCTCTCTCTCTCTCTCCCTCTCCCAAAGGCCAGCATTCCCAAGCTTCCCAACTGGCAAGTTTTGCTATCCCTTCCCTCATCAAAAAATGTTAGCAATATATCCAGTGGTACATCCAGGGATTTCGTTATTACGTCCAGGATAATCAGGGATACATCCAGGGCTTTCTAATTCAGATACCAGATCAAACCTGTCAGCAGCCATTATAATCCCTGCATGATCTCTTGGGGGTTCCAGCATGATCTCTCCTCTACCATTGTGACCCGTGTTGCAAAATGCCTCAACGCCCCGCAGCAGAACTGGGCTCTTCTTTATGCAAACTGCTCCACAAGTACAGAATAAAAAAAGAGGCTGAGCTCTGGCGAGACTCGCTGCCACAACAGGCAGCACATGGATGCACAGCTCAGTCTGTGTGGAGCCCTAACGACCTGCACAGAATCAGCAACAGAAGCAAGGCCTGCCAAAAGGAAAGATGAAATAAGTGCAGCAGTGTAAAGGTACGGGAGAGAGACGAAGCGAATGGTAATGACATGAATGAACATAAGGGATTCTGCACATGGGTAGAACATTTCAATATAGGTCGATAGAAAATAACATACATCAGTTACCTGTAGGTAAAACAGTTTGGCCTTTGTTACTGCCTGGGACAACAGAAAAATCAACAAGAGAATCTGGCAAAGTTTATGGAATTTCTGCATCAGGTTTTATTTTCCCTTTATCATGTAACACCAGATAACACTGCAAGTCACAAAGAACATCAGTCATGAGTATTTTTTATCTCATTAGAGTAAATGAATGAGGTACTGGTAATAAACCAAAATGTACAGAAAAAGCACAAAACCTGCAAAACAAACAGTATACGTCCGACATTCATAGCAGACACCATGACAGGGCTACCTGACGTACTGGGCAATGAGCCCTCCCCCACATCCTTATATTCCTACTCTTCGCCCCAGTCCAGGATGAAGATCCTTTAGTGCCAGATGCTGCGCGATCAGAAACCAAAAGCCATCACTGTCCCCACAGAGCTTACAATTTAAAACCATTTTTCCCTTCTTGCCTTTGTGCTATGTATCGCTGTGCCAAGCAATTTTTTAATGCTTGTTAAATATACTCTAGTTATTACTCCAAATTCTCTCGGTAATCATATGAATATGTTAGGAAAGCAATTGTCTATACCATTAGCAAGGTTAACAGTATGTTTCTTTCTGATGGCTAATGGCAAATGGCCAAAATACATCCAAAATGTAGATCAACAGCTTGCTAATGCATGCCCTCCTGTGACTGACTTCTGAATTTTCTGATTTAAGAATCCCATTTGCCAGGAAGCCTTTGGTGTTATTGTCAAGAAGCAAAATTATAACCTGTTGTATAGTAGTCACCATTAAAAAGGCCAGATTAGTCAATAGGTACCCACAGTTACCAGGTTTATCTTCCCTTCTATATTATTTCTTGTTCTGAAAAATATAAGCTGGCAAATGTTGATGTCAAAGGAGAACAGTCCAGCCATAAGAGTACCAACAACCATTTTATGTGGAGGGTCAGCTAATGGATCTATAGCACTGGCCCATCAGAAGGCCAGAGACTTCAGTTTAGTTACAGCTGTCATCTCACCTTCAAATAAAAGACCTGTGATTTACCATCAAAGCCCACTGGAGCAAGGAAAGAGTAAAGCCTTGATCCTGCACACTTATGCACGTACTTTGACTTCATTGCCATGACAAGATTTGCGGTGTTCGAAGGTTCAGGGCGCTGCTTTGAACTCTTGCAGCCATATGGACCAGACTGTACCCCGAATCAACAGCAAATTCCTTTTGACTTAAATTGTCCAAGATCAGGCCCATAATAAATGTCATTCTTTAAGATTTAGTGACATTATTAAAACATGTTCTGATACGGCAACTGATGGTCACGTCAACATATGTAAACTAAAGGAACTGAAAAAATAAGCACTTTTGGAGAATGATTAAAGCTCCTTACTAAAAAAAAAAGGATCAATTTTTATATAAAACCTGGAAAACTCAATGTTTTAATTGAACAGAAAAGAATCAGGGTATTTAAACCTGTAAACAATCTAAAATATCTGGCTGTTTCAATAAGAATTTGATAAAGTATATAGAACAAAGTTGGCCTGCATAAAAAGCAAAATCCTTCAGCAGTTTCAAAACTTCGGCCATCTCTGCTCCCTGCTCATTAACATTCTCCTCATCCCACTTCTGAGGTCTTCTTCTGTGTTTTCTTGCATCTTGTCTCATTTTATCTCTATTTGTTAAGCTTCCTACAAAGTGAGGCTGCTGGATAAGTGTCTTGCCATAGCAATAACCACCTTATCTTTTAGCAGCATAAAAGGGAGTATCAGCCTTCTAGAGCTGTGCTTCCATGCTGGACTATGCTTTAGGGAACACCAAAGGGTGGTTCATTGCCAAGAGGAAGGCCACAGTCCACAGCTGGTCTCATACCTGTGCCCCTCATACTTAGGGAGCTACTATATGATAGGGAGCAGGGAAGGACTATGGTTACTGATGAGAGCAGAGGACCAGGACTCAGTATACAACTTTGGCCAAGACACTGTCTGTAAGGCTTCCAGAGCAAGCCTAGGGCTGCCACTGATGAATAAGCTCCACTCACTTAGGCCTGCCCCTCCCTTTCCCAAATCTGTTGGCTCAGGAGTAGCTCGGAGCACACCTGAGTGCATTGCCTTGGGCTCTCCCTGCCAGGGCACACACTAAGATCTTGCTCAGACCCATTTCCCCCCTCAAGCAATCTATGCTGCCTCATTTGTGGGCTCCAGCACATACAGAGCTGGCCCAAGTTGGTTCCTGTTAGCTGTCCTGGGTTCTCTTGGGAGACAAATGCTGGGTTATCTTTGTTCAAGTGTGCAGAAGAATAGGGAAAAAAGCATCTCCCCTCTTCTCCCAAGACACAGCACCTCCTGCCAGTCCCCCAGGGGGACAGTTCCATGCGAGTCTGTGCCATAATGGTACAATTCAGATTTGAGCTGCCGCAATTGCCCTATCTAGTTATCAAAGACCACAGGCATCATAAAGGTGGAATATTTATCAGGTGCAGTAGCAATTCCAGCATTTAAACACATGGGATTTCTAGCAGTAAAACACTCCGGGCAGAAAGAAGAAGTCTGATCAGCCACTAGCGCACCTGCCATCAACTTCCCACTTGTACAAAGATTATTTCACATCACTCTAATTTACTTATTCAGCTATCTCAGATTTCAACCTGCTGTTCCTACACACTCTTACAGAGTTTCATCTACATGAAGCTAAACTTAAAAAAAAAGCCACTTTCAACACAACGCCACAGAGATACCTGTTGTTACAGTTCAGTTGTGTTGCAGATCATGGAGTTTCTAGTTAAAAGCTTTCCGAGGCACCATAAAGACATGTTTCAGCGACTGTGCATTAGCTGCCAGAGTTCTCACAAGCAACAGGAGTTAACGTGCTCCTTGAACGGCTCCATACAGGCATGCTT